GGCTGTTGTATGCGACTGGAGAGCGAATGAGTGTTTCAGGATTTCTTGCTTCCAAATGAATTTAAAAAGTTAAATTTCTTCCTTTTTTTTTTTTTTTGGAAAGGCAGGTCAGATTTATGGAGAGTAGAAGATACAGAGAAAGATCTTCTATCTGCCAGTTCATTCCCCAAATGACCACATTAGCCCGAGCTGAGACATATCAATTCAAAGTCAGGAGCCAGGAGCCCCTTCTGGGTCTCCTATATGGGTGCAATTTTCCAAGGCTTGGGCAGTCTTCTGCTGCTTTCCTATGTCATAATCAGGAAGCTGGATTGGAAGTGAAGCAGCCAGGACACCAACTGGTGCCCATATGGGATCCCGGCACATGGAGGTGGAGGATTAGCCAACTGAGCCACTGTGCTGGATCCCTCCCCCCCGTAAGAGTTTGAAAATCAATTTTAAACTCTGTTTTAAAGTAAAAAGCTTATTAAAAACTGATATGCACGCAACCACTCCCATCTCTACAGTTTTCAAGACTTAGTTTGGGGGTCCTATTTTGGCTGTGGGCCCAATCAGTCAATTCTCTCCCCATCTGGTGGCTAAAGAAACTCGTTTTTAATGTAGGGGGTTCTGCCAATCTCACTCTGTCATGAAGAGAGTCAAAATCCATGCCCGTTTAATCGTAGCTTAGTAGATCCTTTCCTTTGCTCAGAAACATCTGATTCTCCATAGTCTCCACTCTCTGACCAGGGAGGAAAGTCTTTTACGCAGCCTCAGCGATTTCCTGAAAAATCCCACTGACTTTCACTGAGCCCCACATTCATCCTTAAGAGCAAAGTAAGCTGGTAAAGGTGAGTCTGGCATTTGCAATTCTAGGTGCATAAGAAAAAAGGCAGGGAAATGGAGCTGGTCTGTAGGCAACCAGTGCCTGCTGGGGTGTTATGAGTGGTTACCTAAAACATCCCAATTATACCATAGCTGTCTTTTTCTCATTTTTTTTTGTGTGTGTCCCTGTATAAAAACTGTAACATCCTCCAACAGTAAAGATTTTGATGTACACAATTTATACCTGAAAAGTTTAACTTGACCAATAGCATTATTTGGAAAAGGGTACATCAGATTTCCAGACACCTGCCAGTTGTTGGAGAAACACCACAGTCAGATCAAACTGCTTGAAGAAAAAATAAAACTCTAAATTTGCTTGAAATTAAAAAAAGAAAGAAAGAAAGAAAGAAAGAAAGAAACTACTATGGCAGAATCACTAAGGAAAAGGTCAGAATTGGTGACCAAGGCCAAGGGGTCCAGGCTTCATTACGCCAAGTGCAGGCTGCTAAAGATGTCAGGGAAGCCACAGCTGTGCCACATCTCAAAGGCATGACTCCTGCAATCGAGAAGTTTTCTTGATTGTGAAAACACAGCAGAACTCGGCCAGCTTGGCTCCACTGAGTTAACAGAAGCACTGGCCAGTAGTTTACTCTCACTTGCCACCACTGTTTTCACAGGCAGTGCAGAGCAGCGACTGAGGTGAGATGCTGAAGTGTTTGCTCCACACTTTGGGAAGATGACTGACAGTCTCATGATGGTCTAACTGCAGATCACACCCATTAGCCAGCAACGTGTAGGAGCCCACAGTGATGATGCCTCTGTCTAAAGCAACAGCCACAGAAACAATGCTCACACACCCTGACAGCTCAGCGGGTGCTGGACATGGTTTAAGTGAATTACTTACATTCTGTGTTTAATTCTCACAATGACCCTTCAAGGGAAGTCCTACCATTATTCCCATTTTCCAAATGATAAAGCTTAGACCTAGGGAGTTGCAATGCCCAAAGTCATCAGTAAGAAAAGGATTCAAGCATGATTCTAATCCACTTTGCTATACACAAGAGGCCGTTATGCAGAATCAAATCTGATCCTCTATGCTCTTCAAAGTAGAACTCTGTGGTTCTGTTTGTTAGATCAAGGTCTGGTTCAAACAGACTAAAAGCTAGGAAGTTACACTGCTATGTACCCCTCCCTGCTCACTGCCTGATGACAGAACGCATGCTCAGGAACATGAATAATTAGTCTTGAAGGTCTAAGAAAAAGCATGTGTTTCCAGACATGTTTCAAGGTCTGCTCTCAAACTGTCATCAGACTCTACCCAAAATCTGAACCACTAAATTTCATGAATTCTCTCAAAAGCACAACTGTGATTGATAAAAGGCCAGTTAGTTCTTCCCACACAACTCACTTCAGGGCATCCCGGACAGTGAACCCAAGGATGAGAAGGACGGGACATTTGAGGATGTGATCAGAGCTGCTTGCAAACAAGGAACAACAAGCAGAATAGACCAATAGCCCAGACATGAGCCTGTAGCACAGAGGGGAGACAAGAAGCTCGGATTCAGCTCCCATCAGGTCCCTTCCTGGTGTTGACAGCAGGGCCTTGACCCATACAACCAACAGGGTCCTTTATGGAAGGTGGTAGTCCACAGGCCTGTGTCCCATCCTCAGCTGTGTATTCCCATGGTTGCTCCATTGACAGTTAAGGTTGTTCTACTTTTGCTTCCAGACACTTCAGTGAACTAAAAATACTAGCATATTGCACGGTATCATGTAACAACTGAAGAGCAGGCATTTTGGCATGCCGTGTGCAAGATTTCAGACAGATGTTTGGAGGACACTGAGAGAAGAAAAACATCTTAAATCATTCTTTGTGCTGCAAACCCTCCCCTGTACCTATTGCCGGGTCTTCTTGTGGCCCTACCAAACTGCAGGGTCTCCCCCACAGATTCCTCTAGTACCCCATTGCCTCAGGGGGTGAGCCTGCTGCCCACCACCCAGCCTCCCAGCCCACAAGAGACAGATGGACAGGGGTTCTGTCTAAGCAGTTCCGATTTATTGGGGAAATTCATTTCCTTATATAGGGTAAGGGATAGCCTCAGACCAGGAATTTCAGGAATACCAGGAGGGGAGAAACTAGGAGCCAATTACTAGGAGAATGACTGCGGAAGCCACCTCCCATAGGCCACGGGTAGGTGAGCGAGATGGCCCTGGCCATCTTTGGTTTTTCTATCAAACAACGTGACCCCTGCCCTGGTTCATGCCTGGGCTCTGTCCTTGGCTGCCATCTTGCTTGCCACATATAACCCAGTGACCTTGACTGTTAGTTGCCATCTTATTGACTTAATGACCTCTTTGCCCCTGAGCCCCACACCAAACAATCCCGTCATATGCTAAAGTTGTATTTTAAATAAATGACTCTGTAGTCAGATACAGAATGGAACTGGATGCCAGGTGGCCCCTAACGACTTCAATTTCTAAGGACCACAGAGCTGCCTGCAAGGGTCATTTCATCTGATTTCTACGTTAAAGCAGCGTGTAAAATGCCTCTTCAGCTCTCAAGTGCCTGCCCAGGAAGCTGCAGGTGTCTCTGAATGCAATATTCATAAGCGCTGCATTTCATTGGGAAGTTCAGATGCAAAACTACAGATGAGAATTCTTCCTCTCCTTTTTTTGTCATGAGGTTCACGTTGGCAAGCAACAAGGGTGGCTCACTGACAATCTGGAAGTCGGGCAACCACAGGGGCAGCTGTGGCACACACAGAGATGCTGTGTTATCTAATTTCCACTGCTATTGCCACGGACCTGAAGCAGACTAACTTCATAAAGAAGAGAGATTTATTCACCTCAGGGTTCTGGTCAGGTGCTTCCATTGGTTCAGCTTTTGGTGAGGGCCCAAAGGTGCATGGCACCACAACGCAGGAGCAGGTGCACAAGGAGAAAGCCACATCTCCAAACAGAAAGCTGGAGATACACCCAATGGTCAGGCTCACTTTGCTAAGGACTCACTCTTGAAGGAGCTCAGGGGTCACAAAGAGCATCCTAAATCCTCTCCCAGGGCGGCTCTTCCAGTGGTCCAAGGACCTTTCCACCTCCTAAAAGTTCCATTCCCTCCCATTCTGTCATCATGGGGACCAAATCTGTTGTGGGCCCTTGGAGGGCCCATGGCAACCACATGCAAACCATGGAAATACCTCAGGGTGTTTAAAATGCTGTAAACAGAACAAGCATTGGTTTGACCACCAACATAAAACCCAAAATGATTTATGCAATTTAAAAAAAGGAGAAACAAGTGATTCCTTGACTTAATAACGTTTATTCAATATTCCTGAAATTAGCAAGAATCAGAAGAAGCACATACCAATCAAATACAGCCACAAGAATGTCCTGGATATAAATAAAGATGCACTATGAGAAATACTTACTACTGAAGGAACCAGTACGCTCTTACACTGACTACCTCTTAGCAACACAACAACTCAAACGTAAATTCAGTTTACTCACAATAGAAAACCTTGAGGGCTGGAAGAAAAATAGAGACAGAACTCCATCGTAATTTGCTGCACTAGACCCCTTCCTTGTGGTTGGTTTCAAGGCCTAGTTTGAAGACTGTTACACAAATGACAAAAACAAACTCAAAATCGTGGTTCTGCAAAGTTCAAACAGTGCAGAAATAAATCACTTACTCATGCACTGAATAAGGCAGAGGCTAATTCCATTCAGGAGAGGAATAATAAATTCAACTAGCGTCGTTTTCACAAAACAAACATTTCTGACTTCTCTTTAGGTAAGGGATATACTGTATTATGTATCATACTCTACTTACATGTTCTCCTAACTCTACTGCCAGCACTCAGCAACTTCTTGATTAGACTTACTCTGTAACAAGTGCAGAATTTCATCTGGGTTTCGCAATAGTGTCTACCATGAAACAGCACACACTTGTAGAAGCGTACAGTTTAGAAAGTACATTAAAATGTAGGCTATGGAGTTCACAAATTCTGTGTTTTTAAAATATTCTTTCAAACTAAAAGCTGCAGAAAATTAGTTCTTGAATATTCTACCGAAAACTCTTGAGCAGCTAACATTTTTAATTTCTTAAGCTTTTTATTTTCTTAAAAATATTTCAATGAGTGTAGTAACCCATCTTTTTGAAAAATAATCCAAAAAAAAAAGAGAGAGAGAGAGAGAGAGAGAGAGGGAAAGATTACAAATCTTTTGTCTTAATCAGTGTGACCAAAGGTTTGTCATCCGGACTGTAATCTTCATAGGCAATGGGCGTTACATCATACATCGCAGGCCGAGATTTCTTTCCAAATCTGAAATCACAGAGAAAGAGGATTCTGGTTGGATGCATATAAGAGCTTAAGTCCTGTTAAAGGCAAGTGGTAACAATGACTTACACTCAAGAATCAAATGGAACCCTAGCAGTAGTCCATTGAACACATCCTCTAGTTTGCTGGTGCAGAAATAAAAGAATCCTGATATTAACACTGATAGGTAAAACATGAATATTTGATGCAAACACCAAAGAATGGATTTCACAAGACAGGCCAAACAAATGTCAAAGTTTTTACATTAAATCCTGGCAAAGCAGTTGGGCATGACAACGCCACAACAGGTTTTAAGAAAACATATGTTGATTTGCCTTTATCTTCTAAGACCTATAAGTCTTGGAGAACAAAGCGTATGTTACATCCACTCTAGCGCTTGAAATACAGCATGTGGTGGTGGGGGGGAGGGTGTTACAGACAGACAACCTCTCCCGTGGATTTTCAGGGATAAGCTGTGAAGGTTTTGAGGTCCTTTGAGACCTCAATATAACAGAGGAAGAGAACAGGAAGTAGTGTCAAATGCAGAGACACCTGTTCATGCAGTCTCCCAGCATCTATCATGCCAACCCCAAGCCCCAGGTACACACAAGCCATTGTCCCAACAGATCTGCAAACACAAAAATCCCCTGGATGGCAGGGTTGAAGACTCCTAGAAGCCAGGGAAGTCAAACCCAATTTCAGGATTTACTGCTAAGCCAGTCTTAAGCAGTTATTACAATAAAGCTAACTCAACTTCTGGGTGGTCTGAAAGGTAAGACCCCTCACCTTTCCTAAAAGCCTTGGAGTACAACAGAATTTAAACAATCGTCCACAAAAACCCACCAGTTCTCCCCCTTCCTTTAGATGTGTCCAACCGGGTTTATTAAAAAGGAATTTCAGAAGAATGTTGCATTTTGAAAAAGGGGGTTCCTCTGAAATAAAGGGGTTCAACCACCAGAGCTTGGGTGCCTCTCTGTCTCTTGCTCCCTGATACACGCTATGCTTGGAGAAGAGAAGCAGGATCCACGGGGTTGTGGCGAGTTTGGCATGGCGGGGGATGGGGACGAGAAAACAGTGCATTCGTCAGATCATCTTTCATTTGCAGCCATTTGTCAATCTTGAACTCCCATTCATTCCCGTTTGATTGACCTTCAGGAGCAGGGAGGTATACCAGGCTAGAGGTGGGGAAGTCAACGCTTTGTGCCCCAGGAGACCCAGAGCCAGCCTGCACCCCTTAGCAAGACTTCCGTCTCTGAAATGTGATGCTGCGCTGAGCCTGGACTTGTATCTGCAGAGGTTGGGTCGAGTTCCAGGCTGAGCGGAGAGTGGGAAAGGCCTGCTGCACCTGACCCTTCCCCTCAAGTCTGAACTCATCAGAAACTGCTTTAAGGGAAAAAAAAAAACATATATTCTGACAAGTTTTCAAAGCTGCCACATACATTGTTCAAAATGTATTACTTACTACTAATAATTTAACAGAAAAATTTACCAACCCTATAGAAACTTCTCCACATCCTAGCTTATAGCTATGGCTTCCTGTGGAAACTTTGATGTATGAACCAAAAAATCATATTAATTAACTGAAAATTTATAATTGACCAAGAAGAAAAATCTAAACTTGATGGACTCCGTTAGATTTTTTTAAAAGATATTTTCATATGTCTTTACTGTTTGAAGAAGAATCAGTTTCCTCAAAATCTAGAAAATTAGATGTCTGTTTTATTCAACCAAAAGCAAGGTATTGTTCAAAGGACCATAAAATTAAATGTGAGACTGAGAGTGGCTGTTGTGCAGTCACTGAGTGTGCTAGACAACTGCTGACACCCCTCCACAATGAGCCATTTGTTCACCTGTGTGTGCTCAAAGCAGACAGCTGGGCAGGCAGCACGACTTTGCCTCCAGACTGCCCACCTTCCTGGGGCACATGGTGATGACAGGAACGGGTCACGGAGGACCGTGACGTTAGCAAGATAAACTGGTGAACCTCGGACTGATGTGTCCAGCAGGGAAGGCGCAATCAGGCCGGGGCCTGAAATCCCCTTTCAGTGTTCCAGCTGTCAGAATTTAGCTCTTCTGACACAGGTGAATCACAGAGCGCCCCACCCCACGTGCAGCATCTACTGAGCCAAAGTGAAAATGGTCTGCTTGATAGAACATCTGATGGATGTCACATACATATCCCATGTCTGATACAACGGAATCGCCAACCTCTCTCACCAGGGTGGACTCATCCTTGGGGATCCAGGGACGTGAGCCCATGCTGACCTTTCAAACAGTAACAGCTTTTTCTACCTCCTTCATTTCTCAAAACTGGGTACATGCCAGGAGATGAAGAAACACCTGTAGCCTTCTATCTTAAACTCCAGGCACTAAAGCAGCATAAGAGGCTGCTTAATTTTTTACCACAGTTTTAAAACATGATTGTTCTTTTCTCAAGTAGCATGCTGTTTTTCTTATCGGGATACATTTTAGTTGTGAAAGAAAAAATTAGGAGCTAGAGAAAATTAAATTGCTGTGTAGGGGTTAGCAAACTATTAGCTGCAGGCCAAGTTCAGCCTGTTGCCTGGTGTTAAGCAGCTTTCTTGGACTGTAGTCGAGCCACTCACACTGATTCTGGATGTTTACGTGTAATATAGCAAGAGTGGAGTATTCACAACAGGTTGTGTGGCCTGAAGGCCACTACTGAACACCCTAACAATCATTTTTGTTTCCTTCCCCAAGGGAAAAGGCGTCAATGTTTTGTGTGTTATCCTTTGTTCTGGCCACTCCGCACCACAAAATCTTTTCAGCTCCGTTAGCAGGTATGTAGTAAGCACCTCTGAATATGTCATACAAGGGAACTTCAAATAGTTCATAGGAAATAAAATCAAAGGCTAGGTTTATTTTGTATCAAAAATCTTAAAACCATGTATATGAGAAATCTTCAAACAGCTATGGAAAAAAATGCTTATTATGAAAAAATTGATTTAAATGGACTTAAAAAAATTTTTGTACCAAAACAAACTTCTCTTTTAATTCTACTTTCTTGTGAACTTACGGACGCATTCGCATATATAATATTTATTACACATGTTAACAAAAGCGAGAATATACTCTGCATACTGTTTGCAACTGAATTCTCACCCTCAATTCTGTGTGAAGTTTGACTGGGAAAGCATTCTTGTCTATTAAAAAAAATATCATACAAGTTTAGAAAATCAGTGGGAACAACTGATTCTTCAAGAGCTGGTGGGCAGCTATGGTCACGTTTCCGCCTGTTAACTCCCCGCTGAGCTGCGACCACACACCATGACACTTAGGAGATACTGCTGAGCTTCCAGGAGGGCGCCAGCGTTCTCCGGGATGTACATGAGCAGGCATGCCCTCTCCCTCCAGAAAAGCAGTTCAAACGCTTCTTCCCAGCTCCTCCTCGAGGCCCGCCGAGAGCTCGCACGTCAGGCACTGAGGTCAGTGTTCATGTCACACCAGAGTCCCGTGATTGTCTCAATTCTAGGGACTGATCCTCTCATCTCATTGTCACAGCAACTTAGGGGATGAGCAGGTTACACTTGTCCCACTTTACCAGAAGAGGAAATAAAAGATTAGGAATCAGTTTTCGAGGTCAGACTCCTTGTGGGAGGTGGAATTATCTGGCCTCTGGGGCCTGAGTTCTAGGCGTTTCGCTGCAGCCTCCATGCACGTGAAGAACACGCGACCTGTGAGTCTCTTTTCCCACTCCTGGTGACCGTCTACATACTGGGTGCATTTGAAGACACTGCCCTCGAGCTAGCACATCTTTTACCCTGGACTTCCCACGTAAGAAACCTTGTATAAGTTGCATGATCTCTCTAAGCCCATTCTTGCCACCTGTGTCATGGACTACAGATTCAGATTTTTGCCAATGCCTTATCTCAGAACCATTTAGAATGGCGTCTGACCCACAGGAAGCTCTCAGTCGATGCTGGCCGCCACAGAGGCACTAAACAGAAGCTGTGACACCAGCAGGGCGCAAACATTACAGGTGGTGACAAGTCTCATGTGCCCATTTCTCTACAAGAATAAAGGGCCGTGTGCAGCAGCTCTAAGAGCAGACCTTCTCTACCAAGTTCACAGCCAGCCAACGCTGTAGAGAATGGCCGTGACCCAGGACTGAGAAAGACCAAAACCACTGTGTTTGGAGCTGCTGAGCAATACTGTCCATCCATGGCTTGCCTCTTTCTGCTTTGTGAGATCAGGCCTTTCCTGCTGAGACCTGGCTTCCAGCAACCAAGATGCGACCTCAGGATCAGAACTCAGAAAGAGCCACCAGAACTCAGCTCTGGCCAACCAGTTACAAACTCTGCTGCCTGTGTGTCAGCAAGCTGCCAACGCACAGGTGACTCCGGAGAGAAGACAACACCAACAGATGGCCAACCTCAGTATCACCAGGTATTTCCCCAGTCACTTGTGAGTGTCCCGGGTGACCCACTCAGCATCCTCCCACAGAGCATTGTGCTATGTTCATTTGCCTTCAGTATCACATCCAGACTGGCAGCAGGCAGACAGTCTGAGATACAGAGTAGGTGTAGGGTAACATCCAAATGACTGAGAGTTTGCCAATGCCTTTCTAGGGTTTCCCAGAAAGGGAGCAACAGGGGCCAGTGGGCCAGAGACCCAGCCACAACCTCTGCATAGGCAGGCTGCAGAAACATGAGATGGTCACTAATTCAGCTGCCAAGGGAGATGTTCTCCTGAATTCCAGCTATTTGGGAAGACACTCCTTTAATATCATCATTCCATCTGCTGTCACCGGTGCGTGCAGCAGCTTGTTGGCTAGGAAACCTGCCATACATATTTCTGATAAAAATCAGTGCCAAATAGAATCCAGGTTTGTAAAATGCATTCCAGTCGATTCTCTGCTTCAGGAGTTTCAAGACTATTCTTTTTTTCCTTCCCAAGAGGCCTACATGGGAAGAAAAATTCATCTCCAGCTTTACAAAGCTTGCCTCTTGGCTCCTGAACGGGCCTTACCTACAATACCTCTCGAGGTGGGGGGGATCTGATTTCCTAGGCTGGGGTCATGGGTCTGGTGCTGGGTCAACCCCTCACTGAGATCACCCACTCATTTCTGACCTGAAAATTTGCTGAGATCTTCTGTGTGCCAGGATCCTCGGGACACAGAAGCAGGTGCCTGAGAGGAGATCATGCTGTTTGGGAGCATTGCTGCCTGAACGGGCCTCAGGAGCAGGAGGCAGGAAGAGCAGCAGCGCAGGCCCTGAGGAGGAGGCCAGGCTCCCTGCTGTCTCTCACAATTAAATCACAGCTGGGTTCAGGTCCATCCAGGCATCACGGCAGGACCGCCTCACCTCCCAAGTGCCACCAGCTCCTCTTCCCAGAAGCCAACTGTAACTTTGTGGAGCAAAGAAACAGTTGCAAGATTTGGGGTTTGATCTTCTAAAGAAGACTTTTTTTTGCACCTCTTCGTATCTGCAGCATTGAGACAGAATTCTGTCAGTGTGTGTCTTGACCAGCACCAACAGATGACATCTCAGCGGGTGTCATCCAGCTAACAGTGCCCTTGAACCCAGCCCTAAGGCATCAACTTCAGCCAGTCTCAACTATACTGACTTCTGAGCTGATCTCTTCAGGTTAGTCCACTGATGGAAAGAAAACATGGCTCACTTCAATGGACAAGGTTGCTATTGTCTTTTTTAGGATAAATACTCTTTACATTAGCTGGGTTGTTTATAATGGCTCAGAAGCAAATCCGGTGTGATCTGTACAAACCTTTAATAAGGGTGATTTAACATGACTGTTATTACTAAGGATTACTTATCCATTTCTCAGTGTGTGGAGCTATCAAATGGTCTTTTAAAATACCCAGTCATGGAGTAGCTAAAACTGTTCTGTTGCCTGAGGCCTCATGCATAGACTTCCCCTGACAAGCACATCAGCCCAGACCTTGCTGGAATCCTCCCTCCACAGCAGGACACTGCTCTCTATCAGGATGGACTCTAGAAGTGACATGGAAGCTGTTTCATTATCCTTTTGTAAGTCCCCGCATCAATCAGAATCATCCATCTAGGCAAATGGTCTGAAAGCAGCATAGTCCAATATCCCAGAAATCATCGGGAAATGCTTCAACACAGAGAAATTAACAATCAGCTACTGATGCAATGATGAACACAAATTAGATGAACGAAAGTATTCAGTGTAAACCAGAGCTGGTCGCACAGCCTGGCTGCCTGCTGTCCCGTTACAGCACTGCACTTACTATGCTTTATCTTCTCGCGATATCCTGTGTCTGTTACAAACCTGGTACCAAGAAGGTGCACCTGTGAGCAGCGCTTCCCCTGCCCGCTGACACCCCGGAAGCCCACCTGGCATGACGGATGGAAGCGATGGCATTGCTGAACTCGCTGTCGATGCTGCGGCAGTTGTAGAACTCCTCATAGGCAGGCCGGGCGGAGCCCTGGTACTCGATGCGGCTGATGCGGCAGATGCCCACGATGAGGATGATGAGCATGAGGATGAAGGCGACGCAGAGGGCTCCGATGATGATGTACAGAGAGTGCCGGGGCATGTTGGTGAGGCTCTCCGCCATGTGACCGGACTTCCACTGCAGGTCTGAAGGCCAAAGCAAGCACAGGGCTGGGCATGAGTTGTGGCCTTTGCAACTTGTCTTTCCTTCCCTGGCATCAGTAATTTACCATTTCAGAGCCAGCAAACCTAGAAGAATCATCCTCTATGCATAGTCCAGATCAAGGGATGAAGGATTTAAGGCATAATGGCTTTTCCCAAATCATGAAAACCCAGGAATATGTCACGGGAAAACGTGCAGAGGGGGTAGAGAGTTCATCGAAGGAATGTGAGTGGAAAACTGCTCAGCTCCATAATTATCTTTTAAATGAAATTTCTCTACCGACATCCAAATGTTATTTTTAAAATATGATAAGCACAGTTGACAAGGGCACACAGGAATAGAGACTATAACTTGATACATTACCCTTCTGAGGCACATATTTTAATGTGTTTTAGGATTTGTGCTGCAGAAATAACCCCTGTAAATGCAGAAATCCCCTGTCTAAGAAAATTCATCTTAGAATCACAACTTTAAATGTGAAATGCCCCACTACTACATATTCATAGAAAGGCTCGGAAAATCACCAGGAATCCTGTATTCATTACTGGGAGTTAATAAGCCTTCACATTTTGCTTTAGAGTCTTCAGATAATTTTTAGAAAGAGATAAAACATTGCAGGTGTAGCTACATGTCCCCTATTCTTGTGCTCTCGTACCACCCCATCGGCTCCAACATGATTTATAACAGACAAAAAATGAGACATAGCATTAATATTAGGCTCTTAGTAAAATGTAAAAATATTAATTAACCAGCAAAAGGCTGAAATGAAAATGATGTATTCTAACATGACCTACTTATGTAATAAAATAATTTGTGAACTGTATATGACTTCAGAATATCTAACTACTCATTGAAAAGCTGAAGTTCATGTAGGGGCCAGAGTGGTAGGGTAGCAAGCTAATCCTCTGCCTGACAGAGCCGGCATCCAATCTCGGTGCCAGTTTGTGTCCAGACTGCTGCACTTTCAATTTAGTTTCCTGATTGTGGCCTAGGAAAGAAGTACTGTGAAATCTTCAGGAATCATCTCCCTATTCTATTTTAAGTGAGGAAAAATTTTTACAAAATGTAGTTAAAAGGTTTGCTTTGGTAGGAAAAAAAAAACCATTTGAAATCCATGCATATCCAGATTCCTTAAAAAGTCTATGGAGGGGTTGGTGTTGTGGCCTGGGAGGTAGAGCCACCGTCCTCAAAGCTGGCATCCTGTACTGAGCACCTGTTCAAGTTCCAGTTGCTCTGCTTCTGATGCAGCTCCCTGTTAACAGCCTAGGAAAAGCAGGTTAGGATTGCCCAAGTATTCAGAAACCATCCAAGTGGGAGACGTGGATGAAGCTCCTGGCCAAGTACTGGTCATTGCAGTCATCTGGAGCAGAAAAGCAGTGAACAGGTGATTCTCTCTCTCCTTCTCTCTGTGTAACTCTGATTTCCATCTCTCTCTGTATAACCCTCATTTCCAAATAAACAAATCTTCTTTAAAAAAGAAGAAAGTTCACTGAAAATGTTAAGAGGAAAATTACATGGATTTCAGATTTTTTGCACCCACACGCTTCACCATTTAATTCCATTTCAACGAGCTTGTTAAAATACCCTCATGTTTGTGGCTCCTAGATGTCCACAACTTCATCTCAGCTACTTCTTCAGTGCTTATGGGATCAAGGATTAGCCATCCCTTGCCTTGAACTGTTAACATCTGCAGAGCTCAGATAAAGATGCAACAACAGGACAAGTCCTCAGAGACATTTCTGAGAAGCCCAACAGCAAAGTGACCCGGGTGCCCAGCCTGGACGGTCCCTGAGAAAGGCAGAGAAAAGGATGCAGGGAATGACTTCTGAGTTTGGGTCCAGATAATCTGACTGGTGCCACTGGAGTTGGCTGGCCTGAGCTCCTGGCACATGGAGTTTAGTGTGACTGACTCTCTGCTCCGTCTGAACCAGTTTACAAACACAGGTGCGGCAACATAAATCGCCACAAATGACGTCATGACAGAAAGTTGCTTTGTAGAAACAGAAGCAAAACTCCATGGCTAAATCAGCAGCCATGTCATTTGGCAATAGGTGGTACATGTGAGAGACAAGATTTACTTTTGCAGCTAAAAGAGTAAGACCAATTCACTTGATTTCTATTTATTCTAACAGTCTCTAAAAAAAATCAGACACAAACTGGAGTTCAAGGCTCCATGAGGAACATTACAACATCCATTTAGCAGAAACACGAGGGCAGCTCGCCTGTACTCCAGCTCAGTAGAGCACGCAGATCTGGTGTTGGTCATCACAAGTCCATTTCTGGTGATCTACCCAATAAACAAATGACTTGACACTTGTGTTAATTGTGTAAAAGCCAAAACACACAATCACATGGCTACTGCTTTGAAAAAAACAACGGTGCTGATCTTGGGCTCAGTTTCTCTGAGTTCCTCCACAGCTGCCATTCCTCACCGCCTGCTCCATCTCCCACGTGTCTGCATTCCAAGTGGTCTGGCTTTTGAGAAAACTTTCTCCAAATGACTCCAAAAACTTCTACTTTCTTTCCTCTCTCTACACTTTTCTTTAAAGTTATATTCTATTTTACCATCTCCTGAAACTTTTCTGATGGGAGTGAAGGTGAATGTCTTGCTAACTAAACTTGAGTTTAGTAGCCAGGCTAGAACTGAGCAAAGTCAATACTTGGTCACACAGGCAGCAAGTTGGTCTGCACCAGGTGGCTGCAATTGCTGTCTGCCAGTCCAGGCACACCACCCTCCAAAACCACACTTTGCTGCATGCTTGGAATCCCTCTGCATGTTGGCTGCACAGCACGGGGAAGCAGCATGATCCAGACTGATGGGGTCAACTTATCAGTCCCAGCAGGTGCACAGTCAGAAACACAAGCACATGAGCTGTTCAAAAAGAAGGCATCCTCTTCATTTTTCCTTAACTGGGATTTTGTATTCCACAAAGTGCTTTTGCACTAAGCATTTGAGTTGGTCCCCAAAATTCCTTCAGTTGGGAAAGGGGGTTAGCCATGGACTACGACTAGTTAATTCGTCTACCTTAGTTATTTATAGAGTAAAAGTGAGTAGATGAGAATGTCATTGTGGAGATGTCGTTTAGTAGCTTCAGAATTTCTGAGACAATCTGCTACCCAGAACAACTGCAAGGGGAACCTCTGGATTACATTATGTTTCCTGTAGCTAAAGGTTACAGGTGCAACCAAAACAGTAAGATGGAAAAAGAAATTAACCCTTGCGAATCCGCACACATGGAAGAAGGGAACAGAAGGAACAGATACACTTCTTCCCTGGAATCCATTCAGAGCATCAAGTACCTACTTTGTGCCAGAAAAAAAGTGAAAAGTTTGCTCATGGGGCCCAAGTCTGCTGAGGGATACAGAGATCTCACAAGGTACCCACAAACAAAGCCAAGCACAGCTGTGCCCTGTAGCTGAGCAGGGATCACACCAAGACATTCAATGCTGACCAGAAGACCTGAACACGTGTGTGTGTGTGTGTGTGTGTGTGTGTGTGTGTGTGTGTGTTTTCAATAGGAAGTGTCTTCAAGACCCCCACATGATCACGTCAGGTGGACAATGAGCTCATTATCTTGGTGAGTAACAGCTGACATTGACTGAAAAGTCTATATGTGCTGGTTTGGATTCTAAGTGTCTTGGGAGTTAAATCACTTATTCCTCTTAAAATGTTCTAAGGAAGATACTGTTATCTCTAACTAATACAAGAACCAATGAGACTCGGAGGGAAGTGATTTTCCCAGGATTAATGCACATCACAGCTGGCAGAAGAAGCCTACTGCTTGCTGAATTCTTTACTTAGTGGAGGGTTAAGCTGGTGAGAATATGCCACTGCAAAAATTAATAGGAAAGAAAGGACAAGAGACAATAGGTGGGAGAATAGGATGGGAAGTTTCATTAGGCTCCTAAAACCATAAAATTCATACCCTTTATATAATTTTTTAAAAGTGAATAAGAGAATATGTGTTTAAATCCAGGCATTGTGTTTCTATAGCCACATATTTCAATAAATAAAGTAGTGGTTTGCAAAGTGAAGATTGCAGAAATCAATGAAGTAAGACTATACTCATATTTTGGAAAAAAAATTAGAAAACTGTATCAGAGTGTGTCACTCAGGAAAAAGTATTATTTCACGTTTGGGGTGCTTATGTGCATATTTATGTGTCATACATAGCGTCAAGATATGAATCATATCTTCCGGCGGGTTGCAGCCAGAGGCCTGAGAACCATTCCCCCGGTACATAAACCCATCAGCAGTTTTCAGAGAAGACTAGAAAGATCTGCTCATGTGCTGTTTCTACGCCACAAGGGAAATGGCAAGGCCTAATTCTATCAACAGCAACCATCGATCCATATACTGTGTGTGACCCTAAAATACTCCGTATTTGTAGAAAGTGCTTTTTAACCCACATTCTCTCACATGTCAACAGTGCATTTGGGAAACACAAATCTCACTCCGGGTAGACTTCCAGGGATCACTAGTGATCAAAGAGAAGGACAGCTCATCAACAGTTCAAGCAGCCATGTACTGAGTCCCCGTGGGTGCCAGGCACCGCAGTACACGCTGACATTCACTGTCCCATTTCTCAAGGACTGGGGCTAAGAGATCTTATTTTCCAGCCACGGAGCAGCTGAGTTGCAACTCACAACGACGTCAAGTCACAGCACTGAGTTCCCCCACGCGACTCCAGAGCAGCATTCTCTCCGCTCGGTCAGGCTACGTTCCTCACACACAGCCACAGTTATTCCAGGAAAAGTAACCGGTGCTCAAAACATCAACAGGGTAAGTACGAAATAAGCGTAATTTCCAAGTCACCTTGGGACTGCCACATCATTGCTTCCAAGACAAAGATTTAAAAAGCAAAGAGCCAACGTATATAGATAAACACTTGTGAAAAATTACAACAATAATAACCATCATGCCAAATCCAAGTATTAAAACTGAAAGCCCTTTAACCTAGCCATTCCAGCTCTGAGACATTACCTTACTGATACTCTCACACGAGTAGGCTGCTGTCTACTGAGAGGCGGCAGTATTAACAAGTAGAGCAGACCCAGCATGGTAGCCGAATGGCTAAAGTTCTTGCCTTGCACACACAAGGATCCCATATGGGCGCCAACTCTAATCTCAGTGGTCTCACTTCCCATCCAGCTCCCTGCTCATGGCTTGAGAAATCAGTGGAGGATAGTCCAAAGCCTTAGGACCCTGCACCCATGTTGGAGACCCAGAAGAAGCTCCTGGCTCGTGGCTTTGGTTCCGCTCAGCTCTGGCTGTTGTGGCCACTTGGGGAGTGAATCAACAGACAGAAGATCTTCCTCTCTATCTCTCCTCCTCTCTGTATATCTGACTTTCCAATAAAAATAAAATAAATCTTAAAAAAAAAACACAAGATGAATAAAATAATCCTTTACTATAGGGAAACAAAAGAGACTTGCATAGTCTATTGAATACATCTACAGGAATACATGATAGGGCCCAGTGTGGTAGCCTATTGGCTAAATCCTTGCCTTGTATCCACTGGGATCACATATGGGCACTGGTTCATATTTCACCTGCTCCATTTCAATTCCAGTTCCCTGCTTGTGGCCTGGGAAAGAAGTAGAGGCCGACCCAAGGCCTTGGAATCCACACCCATATGAGAGATCTGGAAGAGGCTCCGGGCTCCTGGCTTAGGATTGTTTAAGCTCTGGCTGTTGCAGCCACTTGGGGAGTGAACCAGCAGATGGAAGATCTTTCTGTCTCTCCTCTCTGTAAATCCGACTTTCCAATACAAATAAATAAATCTTTAATAATAATAGAACTAATATTTTTAAAAGAATACATGAGAAAAGGTTCACAGTGTTTACCGATGTGAGGTAGTGATAAAAATTATTTTTGGTTTTGCAAAAAGGCTGATTTACACAAAAGTGAGGAACAGACACAAAGCAGCTCGCCTGTCCACATAACGGATTAAGCACGTAACAACTGTTGGATGGTTGCTGTGCCAAAAATTCGGCCCCTGAACAAACAAATGTCTAAGAAACACTCATTGGCGGATAAACAGGGAGCAGAGGAAGCAAGTGTGGAACAGCTAAATTGGGATTAATCCACCGGTCCCACTAGGTTTCAGCATCGTCAGCAATGGTAGATGAGAAGCCATCTACCTGAGTAGGGCTCCCCAGTGACGGGGTGGTGCTGTGTTTTCAGCATGCACAGGTGCTCTCAGTGCCATGGGGAATAGCCCGTATGTATGTCAGGATAGATCCCCTCCTCTCCTTTCCCCCCACTCATGCCATGTATAGTAGGAGATACTTTGTGCCATTCTGGAAGGTAAAGGCAGCAGAATATATCTGCCTTACCTTTTGTGCCTGCTGATATAGGACCACACTATTTGAAGGATGGAATCTACACTTCTGGAGCTGGAAGAATGAACCTTGCCGGTTAATCTCTCCTTTTGTAAATGAAGAACTAAAAAGCCAGGGAGGTGAGATGTGTCATCATGCACTGTGAGGGCCTGGGGGCCAGAAGACACTGGACTGGACCCAATGCCTCAACCATTCTCCACATCTTCATCTTTCATGATGGCAAGTCATGTCTGCTCAAACATTCACCACAACTAGAATGATGCTATAACCAGTAAAATTCTATGTCATCCCCAACTTGATCAATCAATCAAGCTGGAAGAAAAGGCAGGTATTATTGATAGGATGGGGTGTTAGGCAGAATAATGTCTCCCAACCATGCCCACACTCTAATCCCCAGGTTCTATGGATGTGTTACTTTATATGACAAAGGAGACTTTTGTAATGTGCTTAAATTGAGGCTATCGAGATAGGGTGATTAACTTGGATTACCTGAGTGGGCCTAATGTAATCACATTAGTGGGAAGGACAAGACTGTGAGAGGGAAATTTGTGTGCCCACATTACAATAGCTACAACACAATTTAGCTTGGATTTGAACCCAAGCTTGAATATTTTTATTATCATCATTATTGGAAATAAGTATAATTTATATACATTTTTACTAGCATTGGACTTGAGTTTAAAATTTACTGGACACTCTTAGTGTTTCTGAACTTTCTTATCCATACTCTCCTATACAGGTTTATCTTCACAATATGATTTCAAAAGTAATACACAGATGTGACTATCAGAATGCATGATATGTGTCATTCCACATCATCACATTTTGGAATGAAGACTGGTCTCATTTTATGGTTAAGTACACTGAGGCTCAGCACAACTAAGCCCAGTCACACAAAGAAAGCCAAAGTCAGGGTGAGAACCAGATAGACAGCTAGAACGTTGTGCATTCACCACCCTTATTCCAAACATACACCACAGGTAAGGGTCCCTATGCACTGAGGACTCTAGGATGGGGTGAAAAGGACCCCTCTTGTTCTAGGAAGAGACTAAGGATGTAGCTGTCACAGCAGAATGACCAGCACTTTCTCAAACAGGTAAACACACAGCTGCATATCAGCTCTCCATCCCTCTGTCCGCTCAGCTCACTCCTGGTGTCTGTACATCTCAAGGGCCGACTGCGACATGGTGAAACTGCTGCAAGTTCACCACAAGACAACACTTAACTTGGAGCAGCCTGAAATGTTTTTCAGATTTTCTTTTAAGCTTTGCCTTCATTGGACTTCTTTCCAGGCACTTGAGGGAACTTAATCCACTTGAAGACCCTTGCAGACTTAAGTGCAAAATGAATTTACATTCTGTTTTGTTTGGTTTCACCAAAAGAAAAAAAAAATCTGACACAAAGGCTCTATTTTCTGATAGGATTCTGATGCTTCTCCGCGAAGCACATTTTTGGCTGCATGAGTAGTGGTGAACTCTGGATGACATGTGAAAGTCCTCACTCCGGGAAAGCTGGATTCAGACACTGGAAGGAGTGGGCACAGTGCACGGGAGGGCGGGAGCGCTAGACGGGGCTTGGGAGGCCTGGGTAACCTGTGTTGTCTCCAGGGCTCACTGCCTTGCCAGTGACTGGTGAGCAGGAGTTATCTGGTTACAGCTGGCATCTTCGTCTTGCTGCAGGCAAACGTAATGCTACAGTAGAGGATCTGGCAAAATACTTACGGATTTCACAGTTTGCTCCCACCCAGCCATGTGAGCAGTGGCAGCTATAGCCATTGGGCTGGTCCAGGCAAGTTCCAGCGTGATGGCAGGGATTACTGTCACATTCGTTTATGTCAATGTCGCACTCGTCACCTAGGAAACACGGAGAAGTGACTGTGAGATGGCTGCACCCAGGGTGCCTAGCATTTCTCTGGCAAAATGGAGATGCAAGGCTAGAGGTCAGGACCTGCAAGTTGGAGGCCAATCTGCTGTTTGTATAAAGTACAGAACTCTCAGAAAATTCCAGACAAGGGATCTCATTTAGTGAAACTAAAATAGGGAAAAAAAATTAGCAGTATTCAAAAGAATTTCTCCTTAAGTCTGTTTAACCAGTTAACCACAGCTGATTCCCACATCTGAATACATTCTTTGAGGTTGATCGGAAGACTGAACTTGGGTTCCTGGTTTATTAAAGAAGTCTTTAATTTTGGATTCCATCAGCTGAATCTTGTTATTTATTTTTCTGAAACTCCAGAAAGCCAAAAAATCTCAGTTTATGATTATTTTGTAGCCAAGTGTTTGAGTATATGAGACTAGACATTTGACTCTTTTCTGGAAAGTTCTAGGACAAAGCTGGGAGTCTTGCCTGAGCCAATTATGAAAATTTACCCTACTTTCCAAATCCCTCGATATGCCTGGCGTAGAGAAAGGGACCTGAAATGCCCAGAATAGCACCCAGCCCACCTCCCGTGACGCAGTCGTGAACTGAGAGTAGTCTAACCCTCACAGAGAGTCCCTGGGAAATGGTGCCCTGAGGGAGACTCCCTCACAGGCAGCGTGCGGCCTCCAACTCCTGCTCAGCTTTTCTGGGCATCCTTGCCTATCTCAGAGAGAAGCAGAATCCCAGCGATCCAAACACTCTAATCCAAACACTGATTTATAGGAAACATTGCTATCGGCTGGAACCTGAAGATGGTATATAACAGACAAGTACTGCAGGACTTCAACCTTCTGTGGAACCTGAGAAAGTTGCTCTTAGAGAAGTTAAAGAGTAGAGGGATGGTTAGGAGATGCCCGGAAGGCTAGGGAGCAGAGCCAGATGGAAGCTGGTACTTGACTGACAGGTACCAAGATACAAGGGGCAAGTTCTGTGGTGTTGTTTCACAGGAAGGTGAACACAAATAATAAAAACATACTCTATCATACATGTCACAAAGCTAGGAGAGAGAATGCTGAGTGTTGCTACCATAAAGAAATGATACACATTTGGGGAGATAAATTCTGTCTTGAAGGTTTACAGAACACATACCAGTATGGAAACATCACATGGCACTTCATAAATATGCATGATTTTATATATAAAGAGTAAAATACAAGTTTCTCAAGTTATATCAACAAAGCCATCTTCAAGTGATTTTAAATCCATTATGAGTCATTATAAAATGAGCACACTTCTAAAACATAAAACCATCACGTGGAAGCTAAAGAGGATACTTCAAGTTGAGGCACTCTCTCTTAAGTGACTGAAAATGAGAAAAGAAATTATCAACATATGCCAGCATTTGGTCAGATAATTACACAGAAAAAAATTATCCTGAAATAAAAACACCTTGCATAGCTATAATCAGAGCTGAAAGCAAGAATGCAAAATCAAACATTGTGTCCATTTACAAAAGGCAGTATTTCATCAAGCACACAGTAGTTCCTCTCAGCTTATTTAACTCACGCATTACTTTCATACCTGCCAGTGGCTTTCCTCACATTTACAAGACATCCTCTCATCAGGCATAGACCATCTTCCAGGCAGACGCCCACCCTGACATATGTCACATCTGCTGAACTTCACATTCTTCATGTATTGGACATCTATTTTGTTTTTAAAGTAAAAGCTATAGAATGAAATATCGACCACCTCGAGGTCACAGTAGGTTGATAATAATTCAGTAGTGTCTAAGTGAATGTGTTTCTTGCAATAAATATAGTAATTTATGTCAATAGAAAAGACATGAAATTGATTGCTTCTTACTAATTTCAACGGTTGTCTTTCTATAATGCGATAATCACACTGAGTGGAAAAGGGCACAGACTAAGCTGTTATAAACAGCATTACATGGTATGCCAGCTGAAGAGACATCATCAGAAACACGATGAGAAATGTTAAAAGGATAAAATCAGAGGCTTTGACAAATACTACTACTTTCCAACCACTAAGGGAAACAGGCTTAATTGAGGTATTTACTAAACAATAGTTCTCTTTGGCTGGCTATCTTACCACTGCAAGCTCTGAAATGAGATGCCCTTCTACCTTTATAGTCAGCTACAGCAGTGGTGCCACTGTCCTTGCCTCTACAGTCCAGCAAAACTCGTAAGTTCCACTCTGCCCCATGAAGATCAATGCCACTGTAATACCCTTCTAAGTCCATAAACTCTTGCAAACCCACAGCTGTGGGTCCAGACTACTTCATCCTGTTCTGATGCACAGCTTCTTCAGCGAGGTGGATGCCAAATTCCGATTCCAGGGCAGCCCCGTTGCATATTTTTGTTCTTGAATCACCATTAGGCTTAAACAAGTAGCGAGGAGTCCAAGCTCCCTAAAATTGTCTGTTCTTGAGATATGCTGGCTCAGAAAACGTGGTAAAGGCAGACATGACAGAACAAAGAAAAAGTGAACTCTTGTAGACAGTGATCTACAACCCTCAGGAGAAGAGCACTGTGAGTGTGTCAGACCTATACCATTCTGGTTTTCCCCACCACAGCTTTCTTAGAACTGCAAAAGGGATTAAACGGCATAAGGTAATGATATAAACTCTACGCTGCCTAGGGAGCCAATTTGCTGGCACTGTTTGTATAGTGTGTGTGCTTTACAGTAACCCAAGAGTAACGCCTATTTCTGATACTTCTTGATTTACTTTAATGACCTACCTTCTGGAATAACACTCCAACACCTTTATAGTCCGGGAGTCAAGAAGTACAACACACCCCAAGCAAGAGCAATGCCAATAAAACCACACTGAGGCACATCGCTAATGCATTCGCTAAAACCTTGTAATACAGGGGAAGTCTTAAAAACAGCTACAGTGATACGTATGGATCTCAAAAGACAGAAGAGATGCTTATTCCCTATTCCTCCCTCTAACTACAACTGAAAACATCCTGGACACTCCTTTCTAGATGGACATAGAAGATTCTGAGTTTGGCTGGGAACCAACACGCAGGCAGCAACACAAGGGTGAGCTTGCTGAGGTTTCATGTCAGCTTTGCTGATCAAGGACTAAGTCTGGAAAAGCCACCAATTCAGCAGTGTCAATACATGCGGCGGGGAAAGGGAAGGGGGTCTTCCTCAAGGCCAGACAACAGGATATGGCCAGCTTCAAGGCAAAATGTATAGACAAAAACTATTCCAATCCAGCTAAACACTGCAAAAACACTAAGCTTTGCCCCTGTCCAGGTGAGTAAGCGCAGAATAGAGCACGGCAACATCCGCCCTCCAGGACGCTTCAACACTGGCAGTAACAGAACCAACCTTATCTCCCACTCTCCCCGAACTTATTTCTATCACCCATATTAAACAAACTTAAAGGAACTGACAACATAGAAAGAATTTTCTCTGACCATCAAGTAACCAAACTAGAATTCTGCAAGGGAAATATGGCAAAACATCTGAAAAAAAAAAAAACAAAGAACTCAAAAACTAAGCAATGAACTCGTAAGTAATCCATCAAAGAAAAAAATATGAAAGAATGCTAAGAATAAGCGCTTATTGCTTAGAATGTTGCTAATGTTGTGGCACAGCGAGGAAAGTCGCCACCTGTGCTGGCAGCATCACATATGGGTACTTGTTTCAGTTCTGATCACTCCACTTCTGATCCAACTCCCTACGAATGGCCTGAGAAAGGCAGTGGAGGAGGGCCCAAGTCTCTGGGCCCTGTCACTCAAAAGGGAGACCCAGAAGAAATTCTTAGCTCCTTGCTTCAGCCTGGCTCAGCTCCAGCCATTGCGGCCATCTGGGGAGGTAGCTAGAAGATGGAAAATCAACATTGCTCTTTCATTTTGTCTCTGTCCATCCTTCTCTCTATCTCTTCCACTCTCTCTGTAACTCTAACTTTTAAATACACAATTTTTTTTAAGTGAGAGAAAGGGAAAAAGCATTTGATTGAATAAAAATGAACCTATGACATAAAATATGTGGATACAATGCAAGCAGTCCTGAAGGGGGAAAACTTTAACACTGAATGCATGTATTAACCTAAGGTTTCAGTTAAATAATGTAGAAAGAGAAACACAAAATAAACTCAAAGAAAATAGAAGGCATCACATCAGAGAGGTAAGAGAAGCAATCAAAAAACTGAAAATAGTAAAATGATAGAGAAAATGGAAAGATTAAGACAATAAAGCAGTCTGTTGACAAAGGAAGAGAATGATGCAGGTTACCAATACCAGGCATAAAACAAGACAGCACTACAGCGCCCACACATCTCAGAGGATGGTACGGGCTGCTTCAAAGACCTCTATGCACAGAGAGCTTGGGATTTAGAGGAAAAAGAGCCCCACCACAAAAAACAGAAAGCACCACAGCTCATTCATTATGCGGTATCTCCTCTGAATAGGCTTACAACTACTAAGAAAATTGAACAGATGAATAGAAAACTAAATTATCTCTCAGAAGATTAATAGATAAATTTCTAAAATCCTCAGCAAAGAAATCTTCAGGTCCAGCTGTTCCTCACTAGTAAATTCTATCATATACTTAAAGAATTAACAAGTTGACATCATCTGCTACAAATAAAACACCTCCCAACTCATTTCTTGCTATTAGTTTTGCTCTGATATAAACCAAAGACAATATTAAGAAAAATGTAGACAAATATTCCTCTATGAATATAGATCATGAACAAGATGCTAGGAGACAGCGTTTAGCAATATACAAAAAGAACTATGTACCATGACCAAGTGGGGTTTATCCTAGGGATATAAAATCAATTCAGTGTTTGAAAATTAATTTATGCAACGTAGATCATAAATAGGCTAAGGATAAAACACACGAACATATAAATCAATACAAAAAAGGCATCTGAAGAAATCTGATACTCATCCATGATTAAATTCACCAAGAAAAAAAGAAACAGAGGAATTCTTTAATTTGATAAAGAACA